AGTGTGATTTATTTCTGAATGAAAAGATCAAAGGTCAATGTTGATATTTACAGCATTTAATACAATAAAAGTGTTCGTACTCAATTTCGAAAATCACGCAATCACCTTCCGTAACATGAATTTAAGAAATTTCATATGAAGAAAGATGCTTACCAAAAATAATGAATTTTTGAATGAAAAAAAAATCAAAGATCAAACATTATATTTCACAGTTTTTATATGATAAAACTTCGTACAGTTACTCAATCACCTTTCGTTTAATATAAAGAAGATGTATTTTTGGTGTTTTATATGAATTTATGAAAAGTTTATCCATTGCCTGATTGAAGGCTGCAAACTTGGCTTTGTTTAAGGGCGGTTTGAACATCTTCCATATTAATTGGCCGTCACGATCCAATACTTGTATCTCGCCGGTGTATCTTATTACAAAGATGTATCCATTCGTGTCTGTAACTACAGACGATACTTTCGAGACTTCTTTGTCAAAGATTAACGTGCCATCAAGCCCAAAACATCGCAATCTATCGGTCACTTCACAACATTGAATTATACGAAATCTCCCGTCCACATGTTTGAGATTTTGAACAGCTATTCTATAACCGTCGAAGAAATTTGTGAGCTTTATTTCACGGCAGAAACCTCCTCGAGTAGTCATAAGACTGAGGTTCCATTCGTCAAATCCGTTCCTGCAAGCTACCAGTAATTTGTCATCTACAGGTTGCACACACTTTGGATGGAATTTCGTCTTTATAAACTTGTCGTCCTTAAACTTTTCTTGTTGTATATTGACCAATAGGATTTGGTTGGTTTTCATAAGACAAACTGAAACACAAACTTCACTTAGAAGACTTATCTGACCAGGCTCATAACCAAGATTTTTTGTAGACATTATCTGATACTTTTTATTTAATAGAAAAAGTCTTGAATGTTTGAAGTCAGATAAAACAAGGTTTTCGTTTGGAAGACAAACTATGCCGCCAAACCACGCTTCTTTTTCGTCGGACGATGAAATGGTGAAAGAACTCTTGTGTTCCAATGAAATTTCGTATTCTGTCATTTCTACATATTCTTTTTCTTTTTTCACAGTTGCTGTATTTTCATGTTCTTCATGAATGTGTTTGTCAATCTCCATTGCATCGCTTGAATTGCTGATTTTCTCTAATTGTGTTTGAGCTGTTTCAATTTTATGGCTGTTTGCCATTTCATTAACATCTTCTTGTTCCACATTATCTTTTTGTAATGTATCACGTTTGTCTTCTATTGAACAAAGAGAGATTAACTGGTTTTTCATAACTTCATAGGGCTGCTCTTTGTGATCAATTAAAGATCGTTTGATCTTCGTTTCTTTAACTTGAAACTGAACTAACGGTTTGTCAAATTTCTCTAACTCTTCCAACAGATCGGATTTCAAAATGTCGAATTCTTGTTTAATGTATTCTTCCTCTATTCCCTTTTCAGTTTCAAGCTTGAATTCTCCAATTAGTTCAAGCATTCTTACTGAACATCTAAAAACATCATCTGGTGTACCAGATTCGAGAACTGATTCCAGTAATGACTTATTTGTTTCAGCTGTCTTTATAATATTTTCGAGCTTTTCAATGGATTTTGAATATTTTTCATTCATGTCAGTGCTGATTTTATCAGCCTTTTTTATTATTCCTTTGGTCTTTTCGTCAAACGTTTTAATGATTTTAGCACGGAGTTGTTTAATGTCTGCTTTGAGACCCTCTGTTTTTATTGTTGACTCATTTTCTATTTCCTTCATTTCCTGAACAGCATCTCTAGCACTAGATATTGACTTTTGAAATTCAAATTTAGCCATCTCAGGTAGGTGACAACTTGTCAAAGATTTCCCTACACTTTCAATATCAACTATTGTTTTGTTACATTTTATGTGTTGTTCGGCTTTTATGATACACAAACTACACAAAAGTTGTTCGTGTACCCAACAGTAGAACTCGAGCGGTTTATTTGGATGTAGTTGACACATACGAAGGTTTTCTATCCCACTACACAATAGAAGAGTATGTTTGTCTCCGATGTCTGCTAATAAATGCCCTCTTGTCAGTTTGAACGATTTATGAAGGTCGATACAATCTTTACACAAATGTTCCTGACACGATCTGCAGTACTTAACTGCCAAGGAGGCAATACCCCGATATTCACAAGAGTCACATGCCACTTTGCCGTCTTCAGACATCCTAAAAAGTGAAGAAGGCTTATGCAGTCAAGTATTGCACTAAATGTATATAAATGTTATATATTTGTACGTTACATGACTGAAAATTGCGATTACTGTTTTGAGATATAGCTTTATCTACAAAGAAACCAGTGTGACGTTTCACGGGTTTAATACGATACTCCCGGGTAAATAGTATGTGAGAAGTTAGCAGTGAACAGTGAGCTAAGCAAAAAGGCATTTCAATTTATATAGGGAAGGTAATGATCTGCTGTAATGCTCAGCTGTTTTGGGCATCTAGCAGGGCATTCCTAAAGATAGTGTTAAAATGCTCTGCTGCAGTACTCAGCTGTCTTGGCAATCTAGCAGAGCATTCATAGCTTTAGTGAAAAAAATGCTCTGCTGGAACGCTCAGCTGGCTAGGCAATCTAGCAGTGCATTACTAAATATTGTGTTAAAATGCTCTGCTGGAATGCTCAGCTGGCTAGCTAAGCTGGCTATGCAATCTAGCAGTGCATTACTAAATATAGTGAGAAAATGCTCTGCTGGAATGCTAAGCTGGCTAGGCAATCTAGCGGGGCATTACTAAATATAGCGTAAAAATGCTCTGCTGGAATGCTCAGCTGGCTATGCAATCTAGCAGGGCATTACTAAATATAGTGAGAAAATGCTCTGCTCGAATGCTAAGCTGGCTAGGCAATCTAGCAGGGCATTACTAAATATAGTGTAAAAATGCTCTGCTGGAATGCTTAGCTGGTTAGGCAATCTAGCAGGACATTACTAAATATAGTGTACAAATGCTATTCTGAAATGCTAAGCTGGCTAGGCAATCTAGCAGGGAATTACTAAATATAGTGTAAAAATGCTCTGCTGGAATGCTAAGCTGGCTAGGCAATCTAGCAGGGCATTCCTAAATATAGTGAAAAAATGCTCTGCTGGAATGCTAAGCTGGGTAGGCAATCTAGCAGAGCATTACTAAATATAGTGTAAAAATGCTCTGCTGGAATGCTAAGCTGGGTAGGCAATCTAGCAGGACATTACTAAATACAGTGTAAAAATGCTCTGCTGGAATGCTAACCTGGCTAGGCAATCTAGCAAAGCATTAACAAATATAGTGAACAAATGCTTTTCTGGAATGCTAACCTGGCTAGGCAATCTAGCAGGGCATTACTAAATATAGTGTAAAAATGCTCTGCTGGAATGCTAAGCTAGGTAGGCAATCTAGCAGGGCATTACTAAATATAGTGTAAAAATGCTCTGCTTGAATGCTAAGCTGACTAGGCAATCTAGCAGGGCATTACTAAATATAGTGTAAAAATGCTCTGCTGGAATGCTAAGCTGGCTAGGCAATCTAGCAGGGCATTCCTAAATATAGTGTAAAAATGCTCTGGTGGAATGCTAAGCTGCTAGGCAATCTAACAGAGCATTACAAAATATTGTGTAAAAATGCTCTGCTGGAAAGCTAAGCTGGCTAGGCAATCTAGCAGGGCATTACTAAATAAAGTGTTAAAATGCTCTGCAGGAATGCTCAGCTGGCTAGGCACTATAGCAGAGCATTCCTTAATATAGTGAGAAAATGCTCTGGTGGAATGCTCAGCTGGCTAAGCAATCTAGCAGAGCATTACTAGATATAGTGTAAAAATGCTCTGCTGGATTGCTAAGCTGGCTAGGCAATCTAGCAGAGCATTACTAAAAATAGTGTAAAAATGCTCTGCTGGAATGCTAAGCTGGCTAGGCAATCTAGCAGGACATTACTAAATACAGTGTAAAAATGCTCTGCTGGAATGCTAAGCTGGCTAGGCAATATAGCAGAGCATTACTAAATATAGTGAACAAATGCTTTTCTGGAATGCTAACCTGGCTAGACAATCTAGCAGGGCATTACTAAATATAGTTTAAAAATGCTCTGCTTGAATGCTAAGCTGGCTAGGCAATCTAGCAGGGCATTCCTAAATATAGTGCAAAAATGCTCTGGTGGAATGCTAAGCTGCTAGGCAATCTAGCAGAGCATTACGAAATATAGTGTAAAAATGCTCTGCTGGAAAGCTAAGCTGGCTAGACAATCTAGCAGGGCATTACTAAATAAAGTGTTAAAATGCTCTGCAGGAATGCTCAGCTGGCTAGGCACTATAGCAGAGCATTCCGTAATATAGTGAAAAAATGCTCTGGTGGAATGCTCAGCTGGCTAGGCAATCTAGCAGGGCATTACTAAATATGGTGTAAAAATGCTCTGGTGGAATGCTAAGCTGGCTAGGCAATCTAGCAGGGCATTCCGAAATATGCTCTGGTGGAATGCTCATTTGAGTTCCAGGATTTATTGTTGCCAAAGTTTTATTGACATTTTCGACTTCTAGGCAATTCTGAGGCACTCGCAGACTTTCAGGAATTTTCGGTGCAATTAGAAATAATGATATGTTTTACTTCTAAGGACCTTTAAAAGACTATTTCATTGTCCTGCGACTTTTTGAAGGACACTCGCAGACTTTCAGGAATTTTGGTGCCAATGCTGATATTGACAATTAAGACTTCTAGGGACCCTCAAGAGTCCATTTTGGTCGTCTGCGACTGATTCTTGGACAATCGCAGACTTTCAGGAATAGTTGGTGCCAATGGAAATAATCATATTTCTGACTTCTAGGGACCTTTAAGAGTCCATTTCATTGGCCTGCAGCGTATTGTTGGACACTCGCAGACTTTCAGAAAAGTTTGGTGCCAATAGAGATGATGGCAATTTTTACTTCTAGGGACCCGCCAGAGTCCATTTTTATGGTCTGCGACTGATTCTGGGACATTCGCAGACTTTCAGGAATCTCTGGTGCCAATGGAGATAATGACATTTTTTTCTTCTAGCGACCCACCAGAGTTCATTTCGCTGGTCTGCGACTGATTTTGGGACCCTTGCAGACTTTCAGGAATTTTGATGCCAATGGAGATAATGACATTTCTGACTTTTAGGGAACCGCCAGAGTACATTTCTTGGGTCTGCGACTGATTCCTTGAGACTCGCAGACTTTCAGGATGTTTAGTGCCATTGCAGATCATGACTTTTTTACTTTTAAGGACCCCTTAGTCATAAGCAGAGCATTTTTACCCTAAAATGTCATTATCTGCATTAGCACCAAAAATTCCTGAAAGTCTGCAAGTGCCCAATAATCAGTCGCAGACCAACGAAATAGACTCTGGATGGTCAAAAATGTCATAAATTGTAATTATCTCTTTTGGCACCAACAATTCCTGAAAGTCTGTGACTCTCCAAGATTAAGTCGCAGACCAAAAAAATGGACCCTGGATGGTCCCTAGAAGTAAAAAAATGTCATTATCTGCCTTGACATCAAAAATTCCTGAAAGTCTGTGAGTGCCTCAGAATCAGTCGCAGACCAAAAAAATGGATTCAGAAAGGTCCCAATAAGTCAGAAATATCATTTTCTGCATTGACACCAAAATTCCTGAAAGTCTGCGAGTGACTCAGAATCAGTCGCAGACCAACGAAATAGACTCAGGAGGGTCCTTTTGAAGTAAAAATGTCATTATCTCCATTGGCACCGAAAATTTCTGAAAGTCTGCGAGTGTTCCAGAAACATTCGCAGACCAACGAAATGGACTCTGGATGGTCCTAAAAATTCACAAATGTCATTATCTGCATTAACACCAAAAATTCCTGAAAGTCTGCGATCGTCCCAGAATCAGTCGGAGACCAAAGAAATAGACACTTGAGGGTCCCGTAGAAGTCAAAAATGTCATTATCTGCATTGGTACTAAATATTTTCAGAAAGTCTGCGAGTGCCAAATAATCAGTTGCAGACCAACGAAATGTATACTTTATTTAAGAATGCCCTGCTAGTTTGCCTAGACAGCTCAGCATTCCGGCAGAACATTTTTACACTAATTTTCAGAATGCTTTGCTGGATTGCCTAGCCAGCTGAGCATTTTTAACACTATATTTAGGAATGCCCTGCTAGATTGCTTAGCTAGCTGAGCATACCAGCAGAGCATTTTTCGCACTATATTTTGGAACGCTCTGCTAGATCGCTTAGCCAGCTGAGCTTGCCAACAGAGCATTTTTACACTATATTTAGGAATGCTCTGCTGGATTGCCTAGCCAGCTGAGCATTTTTAACACTATATTTAGGAATGCCCTTCTAGATTGCCTAGCCAGCTGAGCAATTCAGCATAGCGTTTTTACACTATATTTTGGAATGTCCCGCTAGATTGCTTAGCCAGCTGAGCATAACAGCTAAGCATTTTACACTATATTTAGGAATGCCCTGCTAGATTGCCTAGCCAGCTGAGCATACCAGCAGATCATGTTTACATTATATTTTGGAATGCTCCGCTAGATTGCTTAGCCAGCTGAGCATAACAGCAGAGCATTTTTACACTATATTTTGGAATTACCCGCTAGATTGCTTAGCCAGCTGAGCATAACAGCAGAGCTTTTTACGCTAATTTTGGAATGCCCCGCTAGATTGTTTAGCCAGCTGAGTATAACAGCAGAGTATTTTTAACACTATATTTAGGAATGTCCTGCTAGATTGCCTAGCCAGCTGAGCATACCAGCAGAGCATTTTTACGCTATATTTTGGAACGCCCCGCTAGATTGCCTAGCCAGCTAATCATACCAGCAGAGCATTTTTACACTTTATTTAGTAATGGCCTGCTAGATTGCTTACCCAGCTGAGCATACGAGCAAAGCATTTCTACACTTTATTTTGGAATGCTCTGCTAGATTGCTTACCCAGCTGAGCATAACAGAAGATCATTGATTTCCCTATATAAATCGTAATGCCTTTTTGCTTAGCTCACTGTTAACTTCTAACTTCTCACATACGGGTAAATATCATGAACAATTGATAAATTGTAAACTCTGCAGTGCCGTAATTGGAATACTAGTATGTGAACATTGCTTAGCAAAATTTGTTTTTAAATTTTAGTATTTTAAAACATACCTTTGTGTTGTTTATCCGATGTTGTTAAACTATATTCATTCAAATATACATGTATTGTACTTGGAGATTCATTTTACCTCGTTATCTGATAGAGACCTTCTTACAAATCACGCATTTGTAATCAACGAAGCGTCATCTGTGTTACAAACATTCAAAAATTCTCTTCGGTTTCAATGTAGGTTATTTTATTTGGCTGGTCTGATAGCATTGTGGTTTATGTTTACTAAACGTTTTGTTAAACATTAGTTTTAATAATACTTGCCCCACATTGATAGATAAAGTTTCGCGCGTGTTTAATGTGTCCTTGAAAAGCAAAACACAAATGAAATAACTTTGACATGTATTTCAAAATCAATAAGATCCATTTGATAAATCGTGCCCCCATTGGTTTATTCTAAATTCAACGATTCATAGCTTTTACAGCGCTATGTCTCATTATACATATCTATTCTGTATGGTAGAGGTTGTTTCTTTAAATTTAGATCGATTCCTAAAAAAGAAAAGAGATTCTTGTAGCCGTTAAATGCTGAAAGATATAATGAAATTGATTTTAACTAAATTATCATATGACTATTTTCTAATGTTGCAAATTTTTTCTTTAATAACCGGTAAAATACACATTCGTGCGTTGAATGCTGCATACACAAGAACACTTTTTTGGTGAATGCAGATGTAAATGTGTATCAGGATTAATTTTTAACTTTACCCACCCGAATACTCTGTCTGTTTATCTAAATTTACATAACTGGCAGAACTGGTTTGCATATAAAATCGGGCTGTCGTTTCCTGCCAACATTAACCGGCATCTAAAGATTGTACTATAATGAAATTCATTTTTTACTTTGGTTGATTCTTTTCCTTCTGAAATACATCCAGTAAAGTGCCTGTATCTATAAAGCCTTATGTGACGTCACATGGTGTTACTTTGATATGAATATCACTCATATCAAAAACAAAAACAAGAAACGTGGCTATGCCACGAGACCAGGTTTTTTAATTATCACCATTGTAAAGAATAAGTTAGTATTTTGTAAAAACAGCTGATGGAAAAATTAAAATTATCTTGACTTTGGTCCTAGGGGGGATAATGAAAGTATATCATTCATAACATTCCTAAATGGAAACCGATTTTCTATTTTAAGTAACAGTAAGGTTGACCCTTAAGGAGGCCCAAAGCTAATTTAAATTAGGTCTTCACATAAGCTTAATTTAAAGCAAGTTCATAAAAACAATACTTATTGACTAGAAATCGATTTTCTATGTTTAGTAACAATAACCTTGACCTCAATCTTTTGTGACCCAAAAGCAATCTCAGGGAGAGCTTCACAAAATGTTACTATACGCCACGTTTCACTGAAATATCACTTTCCAAACTCTAGTTTTTGACCTATTTTTAGTAAGTGACCTTGACCTTAGGGGTCCCAAATGCAATAATAAGTGAGATCTTCATTAAGCTAACTATACACCACATTGCATTGGATTATCTTATTACAAACTTTAGTTATTGACAGGAAACTGATTTTCTTTTTATAGTAACAATGACCTTCATCCTATAGGGCGCAAAAAACATCCCAAAAGAGGTTTTCATAAACGCTTACTTTATACAAAGTTTCAATGAAATATTCCATTTTAAACTCTAGTTATTTACCAGACACCAATTTTCTATTTTTTTGTAGCAGTGACCTTGAACTTGACCACAAAAACAATGTCTATACATAAGTTTGCTTTTCACAAAGTTTAATTGAAATATTTCGTGTCTTATTCTAGTTTTTGACTAGAAACATATTTTTTTATTTTTATTAACAGTCACCTTGACCATGACTTTACAGGACCAAAAAGCAGGTAGATGAGCTGGCAGGCGTGCACCAAACTAGATGGTTTCTGTTCAATAACTATATAAAGTTTTGTTACATGTAGTATAGTAGTTGTGATTAAATGGATATTTCATTATATATTACATTATATGTAAAAAAAACAAAGGGCCATAATTAGGTCAACAAAACCCCGACAAAATATGCACTAGGGCACTTGATAACAGTGTTTCTGTGGAAGTTTGAACAAAATCCCTAATAGATATTGTAGAAGCTGCCCACATAAAAAATGTTCACAATATATTATATATGGTTATAAAATCGCTTGAGAAATGTAGGTGTTGCGCACAGAAGAAATTGTTTACACCCACCCGCCCGTCCGCTCAATCTAATTACCAGTTTTTCCTTCAGAAAACTTGGTTTAAGAACACACACATACACACACACACACACACAAACAAAAACAAACAAACAACACACGCACTTTGAATTCATGCAAATAAGACATTTCATAAATAATTAAATGCAATTCATAACATCAATTAGCTGTACAATGCTGGTGTATTTTCCGATTTCCAGAACATTGACAAGTAAAATCGCCGTTAATGTGTAATCAATTAACAATAGCTAAATAAAACATCAAGAAGTTATAAAATAGTTTGCTCTCAGGTAACGTACAGACTTGTAATTTATACTCCTAAACAACCGTACTATGAGTTGGCAAGTAACCGTACAGTTGGGACACGACACCAATGATGATTTATTAAAATAAACATATGTAAGTGAAAAAACATCTTTCATTAAATAGGAGAGGAAAGAAAGAAAACAATACAATACAATACAATGCAATGCAATGCAATATACAATACAATACAATACAATACAATACAATTCAATACAGTACAGAACAGTACAGTACAGTACAATGCAATATACAATACAATGCAATGCAATACAATACAATACAATAATGTACAATACAATAAATACAATATAAAATAATCGTATTATTGGTCGTACTAATAAAGCTCCTTAAGATCGGACATTGCAGATCGAAATTCGATATTATATTAGTTTGGACGTTAGAATTAACTTTGATTTCAAAAACAATCACCCGTAAAACTGTCGAATTTCCATCCTAAATGCTAGATTGAATTACGAAACCGACAACTCAGACCGACCTGCAACTTCGTGCTGTCTTTTTGTCTAACCTGTCAACCTACAAACAACTTTAACATTTGCCATAACCTCCTATAGCAAGGACCTTTTTTCTTGCATAAACATTTCGAACGCATGTGAACATGAATGAAAACAAAAATAAAATTATGGGATAAAATCATGCAAGCATGCGCCATTGTTGCACGTATTTTTAATTTGGTCGACTCAGGGCGCAATGTAAAGCAGCTAACTGCAATGACGGTCCGGGTTTATTTCATTATCAATATGACATCACACACGCATTACAAACTGGTTTCTTTATACGAAAAACGAACTATGAAAGTTTGAATCATGATCGGCGATGAGATTAAACTGCCACGTTGTTATTAAACGGAAGCATAAATTACGTTGATTTAGAATAGAGATCACAGATGTAATAATTTTGCGACATTTACTTTTTACGAACAATTACATTTATTTGGCATGCGTGTTAAATTTGTGTTTGTTATGAAATCCAATAAATGACATATCATACCATGTCTTTCACTTTTAGTAATCAAAAATTCCAGCATGATATGGTCAATATTGACTCACACTTCAAGATATTTTTACATGCACACAAGATTTGTTAAGTGTATAAATTATAAAATGATGAAAAAACTAAATATGATCAATGCTTGTTTATTTAGAAATTAAATCAGTGTAACCACGTAAATTCTATACTTAAAACTATATTTTTTATAAAATGAGTCAAAACGAGTCAATGAAAATAATAATTGGTTGTAATCCTATAATAGTAAGTGCATAAATAAAATCTGATACGCGTTTTTATCTTCCTGTTTCTGGTTTCATTCGTTGAGTAACAAACTCCTGGTTTTTTCTTAATTTCTTTTTATAGTTTACTTAAAAATAACTTCCATATTGTGATTAACATAAAGTCTGTCTCTAGTATAACGATTTTCATTCTCAACTAAGACTTTTCAGTGTTACGGTATGTATGGTGAATACTGGCTGGTTAACTAGATCAAAATATGTAATTTTAGGTTAATATTTTGTCAATGTTTCAAGTACAACAAAAGTTTTACTCAATTTTTGATCGAGATTAAGGATCAATACACTTGTTTCATTTTTTTTTTATTGTCGGATATGTTTTCTTCGTTTTAAAAAGGAGAAATAAAACAGTAAAGAAGTATTTAAACGCTTTGTACAACTCCTGTCTCGCCGCTATGTATAGATTACAGTGCACTACGCGTGATTATTACTTATCTTAGTAAATTAATCATATATAAGTACCATTCTCATTCTGTTTAACATATTTAGAATTAAATAAAAAATAAACATTTAATTTAGAAATCATCCAGGCAGACGATTTGATATATAAAACAAAACAAGTAAATTCACCAAAAAATGTTATAAAAAGTATTATTAAACTGAAGCATTCCACATTGGACGTTACAACTTGATTCACAATGAACAGAATAATCTTTGGTTCATTCGATCAAAATATAAGTTGCTGTATAAAATTTATACAATTAGACCTTTTCTACAGATATAAAAAATGACATATATATATCTGATGGAACAACGAGTTACTCTACTGACAACAGCGCCAAAGGGAACACCGGATTCCTATGACAGGATTTCACCTAATGGAAAACCATGGAAATCGTCTGTCTTGCATCATATAGGAATATTAAGGGTAACGATATTATATTTTCAATTTTACGAATAAAAGATGTTACTGTTTCATAGATCTGTATATATTTAAAATTGGATTTGTTTAAAATGTCGCAAGAAAAGTCCACATGAAATGTACATTTAAAATTAAAAGAAATATGTATTATGTCAATTCAGCATGAATTGCATTGTATATCATGTAACCATAATCTATTCATCTGGACAAAATACTTTGTTATTAATTACGGTTAACTTTGCTTGCTATTTACTCAGCATATATATACATGTACGTATGAATTTTTTGAATTTTTTCTTATAAATAACTGATAATTGGGTTCGTCCCCCGTTTGGGAAAAAGGCATATGCTTTTAAAATATTTTGCATGGTAAGAGTAGAGATAGACGTTGACTCACCAAGACTTTTTGATATAATTGTTCATCAATCTGTTAAATATTATATTTGTGAAACAAGAAGATGTAATTATCATGATTAGCTGAGGAAGGACACATGAATTCACCAACCTTAAAATGACATTTCTGCCCCAAGAGGTAACTCCGCTTATTGTCCCCGTCATATGTCATATGTATAATAGGGTCGGTGATAAATCCAATATTCCACTTGAAAAGTGTTAGAAAACAAAATTGTATGAAGTATTATACAATTATTGACTAGTATGCCTTTGAATATGATGTGATATTCACCGGCAGGAAGACATATTTATATATGTCATCTGCCGGTGAATATCACATCATATTGACCGAGGCGATAGCCGAGGCCAATATGATCTCCTGCCGGTGAAAATCACATCATATGCAATAGCACACTAGTCAATAATTGTTTTATTATATAAAAAGGTTATAAGATTTTTTTTAAAAATCAGTTTGAACAGTTTATTGAAAATGCTGGGCCTCTTAGAGGCATCAGTCACATATACAATAAAATATACATATAATATGAAAGAAAGTACAACCTTATACATGTACAACTTTTTCCTGTTTCGTTGACACGCGGAAATAAGGCGCGAACGTTACGCATACAAAAGTAATTCAAGTTTATACTCATCATTGCGTTGTACCTTTTAAGTATAATAGTAAAGTCGAGAAATATGCCATAAAGAACAAAACGCAACACGTATCTTTTTTTAATAAACACGCGTAATTAACAGTATACAATATATGTTCTCAATCTATTTTTAGAGTGGGAAAATCCAAGTCAGCCAGTGAATATGACACTACATGTACACCCCATGAATATGATTCTATATATAAACATTCTGTTGACCAATGAGATTGCAGCTATATTTAGATTATATAAATAACAAGGACGGAACATTCAAATTATAATAATTTCAGGCTATTAAAATTAATTATATAAGATGATGAAACGAGATTGATAACTTTCTATAGACTCTTGTACTTATATATCTATAATTGATTAAAACATATATTAGCATGATATTTAAAAAATTTCAAACTCTTATATTTTCAACATTTTCGGTAGTGCTTTCAATGCTTCGAAAATATGGAGTTTGTAATTTCTGAAATATTATCATGTTATCTATTTCAACACTGCACAAGGAATATTTATCACGTTTTAATATATTAGCATGTACGGCATATATAAAGTTAGATGAAAAAAGCAGTGTATGTATAAAAGCCTATATGTATGTTTCACATTTTAGTTTTCATTTATTTTAAAAATCTTTATGTTCGATATCAACAGTTTGATATCAAAACATTACTCAATATCAAGGGATTTTTAAAAAATAATATTTCGCTACAGACTTTTTAAATCTCTATCTAGCCAAGCTTTATATTTTAGACTTTCTAATTTTTCTGTTACGTATATCAAAAACACATTTATATCTAACTAATTGTGACAATTTTCTCTTGCTTATAACGTTACGAAATTCACGACTGAATCTATTACAAAATACGAGAAACAAACAGTAATCTTTTCATGTTTGAAATATCCAATTCAACTCCACGCTTATTTCGTAGGCAGTCCTTCAATTCTAAAAGAAAAGTATTGGTATACGAGCATTGATTGAATCAATCTTTAATAGTTTCTTTAATAATTATTAGAGTTCACAATAAATCTTTCAAGTCATATAGATTAACATCGTCGGTTGGTATATAATCTGTACATACCCATTATCTGGTATTTACGGAATATAATACCGTGGTAACCGATGATCTAGTATGTACGCACTAATAATGTCTGTCAGATAGGAATATCCGTCCCTCGCCGTCCCGAGGGACGGATATTCCGATCCGAACCGAAAAATATCAGATATTTTTTCTTGCATATTCTACCATGTTCCACCATATTTCAAATTCGTTACCTTAAAAAAACAATTAACGATTAAATCTATGTCACTACACCCGTAACTATTTTCTTACAATAGCGTATGAAATTACACGCGAAATTACGTCATTATAAGCATGCCATTGTAAAGCACGCGACTCATCTGGTACCCTACATGACAGTTAAAATTTCCCGCATGAGTAAAAAAATGTCTGATATTCAGTAACCGACGATGTTTTAAAATTCCGCGTTAAGATATTGAAATCGGTTTTGTAAAGGGATTAAAAAAATCATTTCAATAACGGGATACATTAGTATGTTATTTTTTTAAATTTGATTTCTTCAATGTCATTGTTAACATAAAGAAATACAAAATATATTCGTATATCTGACAAAGAAAAAAAAGAATAAAAAAGAAAAAAGGGAATAGCCAAGATTTGTCCATAAATAACCTTTTTTTGAAGCCCACGTAAAATGTAACTTCTTTGTAAAATTTTATTGAATAAACGTGTTTTTACCCCTGGTGGTTTAAGTGTGAGAAAATAGTTTTTTTGGGATGCCCAAATATTTCAGAAACGTAGAAAACCGAAATATGAAGTACATAAGAAGTACACTTACATAAAATGATCTTAGTATTCCGATTTTAAATGCGTATATTTAAGTCTTTAGATAAGGAAATATTAGGTGAATTGCAGCCTAGATCATGGCCACTTTAAACAAGTTTGTTTTTTTCACGTGCAATACAGGTTTTTGACAGAAAATCTATACAACATGGAAAATGTGTTGGCGTTAAGAAAATCACAAAATTCCTTTATCTATTACAAAAAGGTATTGGAAGTGGGTAAAATACGCGTGTAATATCGTATCCTTAATTTCGTACATTATTTCCTCTAAATAAAGCTTATTTTTTATATGTTATATAAATGCCTGCTTGCTGAAACAGTGACCAGTTTTCTCACAGGGATTAATAACTTTGAACAAACTCAAGAGATTTATAGTTAAGTTTGAAGCCAAACGCCGCCGGGCCGGAAGCGTCAATTTCCTCTAAAAGTCTATCCGACAAATAAGTCTATAATTATTATGTTATAATAATCTAAAGAAGAAAGAAATAATCTTTTTTACTTTATTTTAGTCGAATCCAAAGACACAAATACATATCCACTATAAATGTGCGGGGAAGACTTTAAGTTATGACATTGGAGCAGAATTATTGACCGTCGTAAGGAAACCACAGAAAGGGAGCAAGACCTTCACATATCGGCACTTTCTTGTCAATATTAGAAAAGATGGACTAGCTTCTAGACTGAGTATATGGTCAGATGATTGTTTTTCCCTGTTTTAAAGAATAATAATTTTTTAAAGTTAATCATTATTCACTTGGGACAATAAATAACGAGTACAGTAAAACCGCTGCAAAGCAGCACAGTCTTGAAGGACACATATTTTGGTTGTTGCTGAAGGTCGGTTCTCTAGAGAGTTTACATTTATTCATCGAACAATTGATATTGCTGTTGTTATTAGTGTTGTAGAGTGGTAATTGCTATACGATGTATCACCTCTTTCTTTTAAATGACTTGTTAGAAGCGATTGCAAATCATGCGCTTAAATTTTAGTCAGCAAAGAAGTTGGGGGATGGGGATCATTTATGTTCTCTTAAAACAATGAATAATTTAATTGTACATTTAATTTTATAAAATATGATATCATTTTTTTTATAAAATATGATATCAAATTCTATAAAATATGATTCTCATCAGCCCGGCTGATTCATCAAGTCTTATAAAAACGTTTTAATCATAACAAATTGTGATTTCGATAAGTAAAGTTTAAAATACAAGACACCAACGATATTTGATGTAATTCATTACAAACCTTTACCTACATGAAACTTTTATAATGCTTTCTTACTTGTGCATCATACATTCAGAGTAAATCAAAGTTTATTGAAATTAATCTGACATGGATGCAACTTCACAACTAATCAACTTCTAGTTATTCCATTTGGTTGTAGCAACAATGATGAAGTTGCATGGATTGATTCTACTTTTCTGCCTGATCGCAACCATACAGAGGTATTGAGATTGTTTGAAAAGGTCAAGGTCGATGGAACAAGGTTAAATCTGGTAACAATAAATTTCGCTTATTACATTCAAACTTTCAAATATTTCATTCCACAGTGGTTTTTCAAATTAGAAGTATTTTTTTACTGCTTTCCCGCATGCGAGCATTTACTTAAGGCCTTGCTGCATAAGTCTATCACACACACACTTAGTTTTGAAAAATGCATTTTTTTATCGTCAAAGGTGTTTGTCTATAATGCATAAATTTTCTGCAGACTTCATTACATAAAATTAAAGAAAACCAAACAAATGAAATAAATTAACACGAATTAAAATACTTTCTTCGTTGTCACTTGTTAGGTTTTACGCAGGGTTACAAAGTATGGTTCCAAGAAAAAATGGCAATGGTTTGACACCAGTGCAAGTCTGTCCGCTGACAACCCACATAAGCATGTTTCTTACACAGGTAAATAATTCTACAGCATTCTTATATAACGTTTTCCGTATTACCATGCACAAAATTTAAGACATGATTCAAGTTTAACGTGAAATAAATTAAAGCTATAATAAATGTTGTCATTGTTTTTGTTTGAGAGAACAAATTGACTGTTTTTTTTAAATTTAAATTCTAGAAAAGAGGCAGGAAAAAAAGAATTAATAGGTAATAACTGCAGATCTGGTTTGTCGTGTATGTACATGGGAAACAATAAAAAGCTCAAAATATCTCACCCCTACCTGTCATTGTTTTACACAAGTCTCCATGACACAAGACTACATGTCTAACCTTTATTTATAAAACAAAGCCAAAATCACATTTTTATGACTGCTGTAAAATTTCAGGAGTTGACCAGACAAACAAGTCTTATAACTTTTATAAAGTTCCGGGGACACAACTTTACCTCGATATACGAAAAAGCACTGTCACTGCAAGTGTTATGACAAAGGCAGACGATGCCAGAACAAGTAAGTTTTTCATTGATATAAATTTACAAACAAAATATTGTTGCTTTTATTTTTTTTAACTGAAGCACGACCCTTAAAACTTCTGTTTCTATTTTACTTATAACTTGACTTTTATGTTACAGAAATAATTTGTAAAATAATGCAAAGTGGCATGGACCGTTGTGGAAGCGTTAAATTCAAAGCCGCACTTTGCAAAAACGAAAAGGAACGCTACATTGCAATAGATGATTTAAATAATGTTATATTAGACGTAAGTATTTTAGAATCTTTAAATTCAGCAGGTTTCAAGTTATAAGTGCTAGTTAGGGTGTCAAGTCTTGAGTGAAAACTTATAAATATACCAGTAACCTTTTTACCCGATTTGTTAGTATCATTATTATTAACAATCTTGTGAGTATCAAATATCAAACACTGCTTTACTCGGTGCAAGGGTTTATAAAAGTTTTTGTACTGTCTTGAGAATAAACTCATAAACTATAAATCTGATTTTTACTTCACAATTATGTTTATATTGTTCTAAACGGATCTCCAATACTCAACATTCTTTATAAGCGCTTTTGAAAGATTCACATATTTGTCTACGGCACCTTGGTAAATGTATCAATTGGAATATGTACACGTCATTATTTCTAAAGTTGTTTTTTTTACCAATTTGGACATTATTTATGTGGATCATCAAAGAGCACGCCCGATCATTTCTTACAAATTTTGATTTATGACTAAAAATGGATAGAGTCAGAAGGTTATTCATTGTTGCTTTGTTTTATTCCAGAAAACACCATTTTGGTTTGATGTAGGCACGATAGGTAGCAAGATACTTTTCAAGCACAACGGTGAGATGATTTAAAATGTTAATGCAATAAAGATGTTAGATATTGCAATACAAAAGTATTCTTATATAAAATTAGTTACCCACTCGGAAACTAACTTTTGTACGTATATACATGTTAACAAATGCCAGACAGTTACATTTTCTTAAGAACTTGAATTGGAATATTTGCATTCTTCTCCAAATTACAGAGACATATTTTAAAGTATGAATTGTTGTGGCTTATAATTACTGTTTTTGTTGTTGTTGTTGTTCTTTTTAGATGTTTTCCTGACATGTAACCCCACAACTAGTCAAATAGAAACGAGTATTCAAGAATTTCAGTTTGAAGAAATTCCAGCAGATGACGTTGGCGATTGCAGCTACCAATCTTTCTGAACTTAAAAGGATTCTCTATCTTTCTGCGTTAATCCTAATTTATCAGTTGGATTCCTAGTATCTAACCCTTTGTATCCAAGCTGTACTTCAATTCATCTAAAGTTCAGATCCACTTCAATTATTTCGTGCATATAGATCTGATTGCCAACTTTCATGGTGATTCGGATTTCCTGAGAAAGCTATTTATAGCGATGCAATCAAACCGTCCTGTACAGATAGGCATTAGACGACGTATCAACATATCGCTGTACGTGGAAGTACAACAAATTGTTGATTTTTGTTAAAGAAGTAATTTGAAAGAAGTAAACAAAAAATAATAGACTCAATTTTTAACAGGCAAGATTGTTTTGCCAGTTTATTTGCTGTCTATATGGACAACGCCATGTTTGTCGTGAACATTACACACTCATTATTGGTTTTCCAGAGGTTAAAATTTGACACCTCATCGCTTTCAAAAATTGTGAAAACTCGCCGATGAATGGCTGTTTGAAAGGTCACAAGAAGGTGAGGTCCTATTGGTGCCCGTCAGATCCTAATGCGTATCGTTAATAAGGCACAGATTTAAAGAGATTGCGATGTACCCATGTAGTTCATGATACATGAAATCATTACTGTACAAGGATGAAATACGTGCATTTCTGCAAAATCAGGATTGTAAAACTTATTAAATACTTCGTCGTGAAAGGAGAAATGTCATTCTACGTATGCAAGAGATTTGAATGATTGGTTTAAAATATATTTATTTAAACAAACATTCGCTAAATATTTTTTTATTTATCTCACCTAAAATTAATCATACTAAGAACATTCAGTATATTTTTTTCATTGTGTCGTCATCATTCAATGCTAGTCTTAAGAAAAAAAGAAAAATAACGAGGTAAAGAAAAACATAAAAACTAGTCGACAGTCTGAATTTGCTTTTATTTGTTGTTGTTTTTAAAGAGCAAATTGGGTATTATTGTGTTTTCTTTTTTATTTTCCTCAAACACAGGTGCAATATTTCTTTCCATTATTTGTATTTCAAAACTGACTCAGGGAATGACATGTTAATAAATATGAAACGTTCTCAAATATAAGTTGTTGTAGTTTGTTCTCCGTTGTTTGTTTAATGAAAGGTTGAATGTCTCATCAATCTTTTCTAATCATTTAAAGGTTTTTCCTCAGTATTCTTCGAATAAAGCTTTTCATTAATTCCTTTTTTTATCAGAATTTTTAAAAAAAATTGTTCAGAAAAAAAACACTATAGGCATTTTGGCAATGCCTTTGCAAAGGTTGAAGGCAACTATGGCAAATATAATTCACTTATGGAGATAGCTCTCTTAAACCAGCTAAGGTTTGTGAGGAATGAGGACGAAATAACTGTTTTTCAATGGTAGTTTTACGACTAAATCTTTCAACCTGTCAGTTATTCATAAGTTCGTACAACAATCATGAACAAAGTAACATTCTAACCTCAATTTATTTTCATGTTGTGATGTTATATGTTTATTTTCATAAAAATAATTTCAGTCATGAAATTAATATCATACAATAAATTAATATTCAAGCACATGTTCATGGTTACTAGAAAACGTCACGGATTAGTCCTGTAATCAAATTGTTCCTTCATTTGTAACTGTGTTTTAACGTGTATGTAGCTTAATGATAGAATTGATATCATACATCACATTAACTATATGATATCTTGTACTGTAGTCCATTAGGTGCTAGAGTCTACATTAACATGTAGATATCGCAAGAGCGGACCTTCTTGTATGTATTTCAAGTTTTTCCTTGTTAGTCTAAAGTAAATGAATCACGTATCCATAATATTACAAATGTCATGATGAAGTAATAATTGCGACTTTTATACACTTAATTATATGTATACCTCTCGTTCTTTGGACAGTTTTCTTGTGAGAAAATATTCATCTACGTTCTTATAATGAACTTTCTTTCAGATTGAGTCTTCTTACATTGATAACATGTATTGTTGTATCCTTATAGGTGGTTAAAAATAGTTTATCCATGTCTTTATTGAAAGCTGCAAATTTCACACGACGCATTGCCCGTGGATAGATACTTGTTACAAAATGTCCGTCCTGAGAGAAAACTTGTATTTCACCAGGAAATCTTATTACGTAGACATACCCAAGAAGATCCGTTACTACAGATGTTATTTCTTCAACATCGCGACAGAGCCATTCTTCTTTCCCATTCTCGGACAAACATTTCATGCTTTTTGATTCTTCAGAGCACTGGATGATACGAAAACTTTCTTTTAAAGCTGGAAATTGCTGTACTGCTATTCTATAACCCTCTGAATATCCATGAATGTCAACATTTATTTCCTCGGTCCGCCAGTTCTGTCCATTTAATGTTTTGACTTCAATGCACCAGCCGTCTCTTCCATTTTTTGATGAAACAAGAAATCTTTTTTCATCAATCGCTTGCACACATTTCGGATGAAATCGTGTAGATAAATATCTGTGCTCTTTCAACTCATTTCCATTTATTTTCATCATGAGCAATTTGTTGGTTTGCATGAGACAAACCAACAAGTATTTGTTGAACATTGTCAAGTTCCCTGGTCTGAATTCGATACGTTTGTCTGTGACAAATGAATTGTTTTTCACTATGATTAATCTGCACATTTCGGAATCAGATAAAACAAACCTTTCATCATTAAGGCACACTATACCAGTGTAAAATGGTTGCCTGTCACCAGGGGGTTTCAAGTCAAACCTATTAGAGTAAGATAATTCAACATCATAATGACTTAATGAATTTGCTTTGTGTGAAGTGTTAGTCGTAACCTGAGGTAAAGCATCTGCATCATCGCTGGAACTCTTCAAAGCATGAATTAATTTTGTTTCTTTTATTCTCTTGCTAGGTTCATGGTCTTTGATATTTTTCAAACCTTCCTTGTTGTCGTGTTTGCCGACAACCACATCTGTTGGTATTGAAGCAGCTGTTGTTTCAAAGACATTTTTTAAGTAATTAGATGGGACATCTGGTAGTGCCAAGGTAACTTTTTCTACACCGCATTTGATCAAAGGGGTTTCGTCTACCATTAATCTTTTTACAACATCAGACTTCTCAAAAGAAACTTTAAGTGTAGAACAATGTCCCTTTGTCCATTCCATTTCTCGCTTAAAATGCTCAAAATATTTATTCGTTAGGACAGCGCGTCTGAAGTAGGATGCATTATCCCCGTCGTCAAGTGCAGATTTTAACAAAGATACGTTCTGTGTTACCCTTTCACTAAATTGTGTTAAATTCTGTACTACTCGTTCGCAATCACGTCTGTTTTGTAAAATATCACTAGAGATCGCTTCAGTTATGTGATCTGTTTGACGATCAAAGGCTTTCAGCATCTTGGATCGAATTATTTCAATTTCGCATCTCAAACCGTTTAGGCTTTCGCTTGTACATTTATTCCCCTGTTTGATTTCATTTACAGCACTTTGAGCGGATTCAACGAGTTGAATGCTAGATTTTTCAATATCTTCAGTTATTTTTCTCTTGCAAAAATGCTTTCCAGCACTTTCTATTTCAAGTACTTTTGAACAATACTTATGACTCTCTGTTAAAAGTAAACAATGACTGCACAAGAATGTTTTATGATTGTCACAGTAGAACTCCGTTATTTTTGTTGGATGTTGTGTGCATAATTGAATATTTTCCTCCCCGTGGAAAACATCTGTGAAAGCTTGGGCCATATGATGGTCCTTTGTAGCATTAAAGGCTTTGTGGCATTCCACGCAGTCTTTGCATAATAGTTCCTGGCATATTACACAGTACCTCACACCTGTTGCTGATATACCGCGGGTTTGACAAGGTGAACAAAAACGAACTTCTTTGGTTGCCATGGTTCAGGTAAATGTCTGTTTATAATATCGTCTGACAACAGTACTGTGCATAAAATCAAATCTGAAGAACTAAAAGCATGGGAAATCAATGACATATTTCCGTAAAATATCAGGTAAAATAAAGCCTGAACGTAGTTTGGTAAAAAATGATATAAGAAGAAATATTGTAACAAAAGGTGAGTTATAAAAAAATTCTCTCAAAACATTACCATTAGGCCCAGACGACTTTTTGCAGAAAGATAGTTTGATGTTGCCCCTGTAACAAACTAGTTTCATATATTTTAACTATCTAATCGCAATTTCATATTTTTTTATAACAGAAGTCAGCAAAAATACTATGTTCACTTGTGCCCTTACCCTTTCGTTCCAAATGTAAACCTTAGAAAAAAAAGAACCAATACCAGCTAATAAATCCATGTTTTTTGCTACAACCCCATTCCAACTACAAGGTGCAAAAAAACTCACTTGTTATATGCAAATTGAGGATTTAACTGTATGAATCAATGGGGAAAAACGAACTGTTATATATCAATACAGATTTCAAATCCTCATTGAAAGGGTACTGAGTATAATAGGTTAGTAAGAACAACAAGAGCACCGCTAGGCGGAGCATTATATGCCCGAAAGTGTTTTTTTTTCTTTTCTAAGGATGAAGCATTTGTAAGACATTACATAAATTAAATAAAGTATTACCTCCTTCAAATAGCAATCCTCCTATAAAGTTTTAATATTGTGGGCCAAATGGAACTTCAGTTATGGTCTGGAAACTGTTTTTAGTTTTGAGGTAATAGCTACCTTGAACTTTGACCGTGTGACCCCAAAATCAATAGGGGTCTTCTACCCATTATGGACAATCATCATATGAAGTTTCAACACTATGGGCCAAATAGAAAGTAAGTTATGTTCTGGAAACTTTTTTCAGTTTTAAAGTAATAGTGACCTTGACCTTTGACATTGTGACCCCAAAATCAATAGGGGTCTTTACCCAACATGGACAATCATCCTCTGAAGTTTGAATATTGTGGGACAAATAGACCTCAAGTTATGCTCCGGAAACTGTTTTCAGTTTTAAAGTAATAGTGACCTTTGACCTTGTGACCCCCAAAATCAATAGGGGTCTTCTACCCAATATGGACAATCATCCTATGAAGTTTGAACACTGTCGGCCAAATAGAACTTAAGTTATGCTCCGGAAACTGTTTTCAGTTTTAAGGTCATAGTGACCTTGACCTTTGACCTTGTGACCCAACAATCAATAGGAGTCTTCTACCCAAAATGGACAATCATCCTATGAAGTTTGAACACTGGCGGCCAAATGGACCATAAATTATGCTCCGGAAACTGTTTTCAGTTTTAAGGTCATAGTGACCTTGACCTTTGACCTTGTGACCCCAAAATCAATAGGGGTCTTCTACCCAATATGGACAATCATCCTATGAAGTTTGAATACTGTGGGCCAAATGGAACTTAAGTTATGCTCCGGAAACTGTTTTCAGTTTAAGGGTCATAGTGACCTTGACCTTTGACCTTGTGACCCCAAAATCAATAGGGGTCTTCTACTCAATATGGACAATCATCCTATGAAGTTTGAATGTTGTGGGCCAAATGAAACTTAAGTTATGCTCCGGAAACAAAATTGCTAACGGACGGACGGACAGACGGACGGACGGATAGACAGACGGACGGACGGACGGACGCCCGGGGGTATAACATAATATGCCCGAAATTCTTTCGGGCATATAAAAAAGGAGTTCCAAACCATAACGTTAATTAGTCATTTTCAAACATTGTTTTAAATATAAGGTACTGAAAAGATTGCATAGTTGCACCCTAAAGAGTTCACTAAGTAAAATAATCAAAACATTATTCAGAATATCAAAATATGAAAAACTTAGATGTGAATATTTATTAATCAAAATTTACACAAACTGTGTTTATTCATAATTTCAATAGAAACTTACTTTCCATTTTAGCCATTTACCATTTCCTAACTTCCGTTTAATTTCAATATTTTCTAGGTTTTCTTAACTTTTTAAAACCAAATTACTATCGTTAGAGTAATAAATCAGTGTAGAATGACGCACAATATGTTATCAGCAAACTCAATTAACATAGCAAAAAGAAATGCCTAATATTGATCGGTCTACCTTTAAGGGTATTAGGCCTTGATCATGTATCAATATCGCACAACAAATGAATTTATAAAGCCCATTATTATATAATTCATTTCTGCTTAGTAAGCAGACGTTATCTGATATCACGATATACGCAGGAAAAAATACTTAACAAATAGTGACCTTAAACTTTGTCAAACTTTTTGTACTTGAATTCTTAGAAAATGTCAACACAAGCATTTGCAGACGACATTGTTTGTTTACATGTACTCGTAATCTCAAACAAACAGAACATGTGTATACAGTATTAGGGGGATTATATCATTATACAAATAAAAAAAATGTAGGTTGAATTGTTATTTTTGTTTGATTTTAAGACACACTGACACTGATAACGTTTCAGGGTGACTTTCAAGCTTTACTGGTCCAGGCGTCATTTGCCCCTTTGTGCATTATCGTAGGCACAAGCGGGAAACCTGAGTAAAATATCGACCTTCGGTCAGTTAGCTTGATATCATCCTCACGTGAATTAATCCAGACTTCCTGACGAGACTTGATCCCACAGCGGTGAGAGGAAGTGGTCTGAAATCAGCGACATCAACCAATCGACTACGGATGATCCTTAAAATTTTTGTAAAAATGTCACAGAAATACGTATTTTTGCTACATAATATGCTTTAATACTTGTTTTATTAATTACCAGGACATTGTTTTACGTGTGATTATCTTATTGGGGGAAGTAAAAGTGGCAAATTTGTTCTGTTTTGTGATTGGAAACAATGTATAAAATGCATTACACACATTTTAAACAATAATAAATAAGAAATCGAACTTAATGCATTGCAAATTTTAACGCTCTACGAGGATTGATCCAAAAGATTTTGGCCCAATATACTTCCAGTAATCAGAGAACCCAACTAATGGTCTTACTTTTCAATGGGGGATGGGGAAGAATTTCAAAGCCGCAATTAGTTGCAGCGGGCATCGCAGTTGGGATATGTGTGCTGGCGCATTGTCGTGTGGGAGCAGAGCGCCTCGAATCAGTTTGCACCTCCTTTTACGCTGGATTTCTTGACGCAGACGTCTCAATTCGTCTGCATAGTACGAACCGTTTATGCGACCTTTATGAAAATAGTCAACCATGATTACGCCCCGCCTGACTATCCCCAAAAAAATGAAGCCGTCATCTTCCCTGCTGGCAAGCCTGGTTCGTTTCTGATCGTCAGTCAACTGTCTTAAGACCCATCTAGCGGAAACCTTTTACATGCCATAGACATCAGTCAGAATTGCCTGAACTGAATTAAAGCTTATACCCACTTCCCTAGCAATGCTTCGCAGGTCTCGCTTTCTGTCGTACATGACCAGATCGTGCACAGTTTCGGCAGTTTCATCGTTGGTGACTAAATCTTTTGGTTCTTAAGTTCTGAATCCTCAAATTTTATGTCGGAATTTCCGTTAGTCACCCAAGATTATCACATGTATCAAGTCAATATAAAATCTCTGTTATTTTTTTACGAAAGTTGCAATCTTCCAAAAATGATGTAGATGTTTGTTTAAATACCTGAACTCTACCAAAAGATTTTTTTTACTATCGAAGGCAGATTACCATGGTCGCAAATTAAAAACAAGTTATATTTTCTAGGCAATTATTTACATTTGCTCTAACTGAAACCTAAGTGTGTAATTATTCTAACTATTGACGATTTTTTTACGCTTTCAACTTGAATAGAGAGTATCGAGTGGCAACATATGGCAACATTGATCTGCATTCAAAATAGCTTTTTTGCAATCGGGTCATCTCGGGACTTTCCGCCAAACTTCGGATAAGAACTTCGAACATAATAGTAAGAATACACAGAACAGATGTGGTGTTTCGGTCAAACCTAAGTAAATATATTAAAAAGTTAAATGCTAGGAGTTAATTGTTCTGTCATGCTTTGCGCTTTTCGATCTCAGAGAAAACACACTTGTCCTATAAAGGCACAATAAAGATGAGCCCTTAAGACACGTTCAACGTTTTCTTACACATTTATATTCAATTATGCGCCTGTCTAACAGGAAGGCGAAAGTACGATGGTGACAGTACGGCAGCAGGATGGTGACAATGCAACAGGACGATGGCGATGTGCGACGGCACGATGGTGACAGTACGACAGTACGATGATGATGCTCGATACTACGATGGTGACAGTACTACTAGTATCATAGTGACAATGCGACAGCACGATGGTGACAATACGACAGTACGATGGACTGTCAACATCGTTCTGTCGTTCATCGTCATCGCACTGTGTTATTGTCACCATCGTATCGTCGCGCTTCGCAATCGTACCGTTGCACTGTCACCATCGTAATGTTATGTTTCACGCCTTTCGTTCTCCGAGAAAACGCACTCGACCTAACAGAACACCGTAGTTATCGAAGCAGTAATATACTTTATTTTCTTTAACAGCTGAAAATAAGCCATAAATAACGCGAAATATGAGACAAGTTTTCACAAATTATCTTTAAAACGCTGTAGCTTCTTGATGACTGAATACGGGAACTAGTTTACCACACGAGTATCAAAAAAATTATTCACTGTTAACGTAACATATTATGAAATATTTCACTGGCATACAAATGTCAGCATTGGATACACAGACACTAAGAAAATTTGAATTTTAAATTATACATTAAACAAACAACAACAACAACAACAACAATTTATCTAATATTAACAAAATATTTTTTATACTGATTACCGTTTTATTTCCCGTCTTGTAAATATATTTTAAGGTGTACTCCAGACTTATTTTGAACACCGTCCAACGTGAACACCTCGGTAAAACAAAATATCAGGCAGTAAAATGGAAATCAATAGCTCAAGTACGTTTTGTGAACAACAAATTACGACATGACATTTCCATAATGGAGGCATGAATTGAATTGAATGTTTGAACAGTCAAGTTTACAAATATTCTTGCGCAGCAATTATGTCCATACAATACGGAAATTGAAAAACGTTTTAGAACATACTTTATTGTCATTGAACATATTTACTAGGAAAAGATTTTAGTTATAGAAACCAATTTCCAAATAGGAAGGCTTGGGCCCGGGCACCGGGGGAAAAAGGGGTGAAATTTTTCCCCAGTTGGGAAACTAGATGTAATTTTTTTTTGGGTAAAAAAAAAATTTTTTTAAAAGGTTTTTTTTATTTTTTTTTATCTAAAATCAAATATCTGTAAACAAAAAACCCTTGATTTTTATTTACCCCAAAACAAAGAACTCTGACATTTTTTAAACCCCCAAAAAAAACACACATAAATTTATCAGACTTATATAAAATTTTTTTTTCACGTATCGTCTTTTTACAAAAAAGACCCCTGGCGAGCCAAAAATTTTTTAAAAAAAAAAAAACCCCCAAAAAAAAAAAAAAAATTTTCCCCAAAAAAAAAAAAAAAATTTCCCCTTTAAAAAATTTTTTTAAAAAAAAAGGAGCCAAAAAAAAAAAAAAAGCACCCCCTTTAATTTAAATTAAAAAAAAAACTTTTTTTTGGGAAAAAAAATTTAAAAAAAAAAAAAATTTTTTTAAAAAAAAAAAAAACCCCCCAAAAAAAAAAAAAAACCCCAAAAATTTTTAAAAAAAAAAATTTTTTTCCCCCAAAAAAAAAAAAAAAAACCCCCCCCCCCTTTTTAAAAAAAAAAAAAAAAAAAAAACCCACCCAAAAAAGGGGTTTTTTTTAAAAAACCCCTTTTTTTAAAATTTTCCTTTAAAACCCCCTTTTTTTGGGGTTTTTTTTTTTTTCCCCCCCTTTTTTTTTAAAAAACAATAAAAAAAATTTTTGGGGGGGGGGAAAAAAAAAAAAAAAATTTTTTTTTTTTATTTTCCCCCCTTTCCCAAAAACCCCTTTTTTTTTTAAAAAAAAAATTCAAAAATTTTTTTTTTGGGGAAAAAAAAAAAATTTTTTTTTCCCCCCGTAATTTTTTTTTTTAAAAAAGGAAAAATTTTTGGGTCTTTTAAAAAAACAAATTTTTTAAAGGGAAAGGTTTTCCCCTTTTTTTTCCCCAAAAAAATTTTTTTTTTTTTAATTTCCCCGGGGTTTTTTTTTAAAATTTTTTTTAAAAAATTTTTTTTTTTAAAAAATTTTTTTTTTTTAAAATTTTTTTAAAAACCCCCCCTTTTTTTCAATTTTTTCCCCCCCCCCAAAAAAAAAAAACCCAAAAAAAATTTTTGGGGTTTTTTTTTTTTTTTTTTACCGTTTTTTTTAAAAATTTTTTTTTGGGGTTTTTTTTATTTTTTTTTTTTTAAAAAAAATTTTTTAAAAAAAAAACTTTTTAAAAAAAAAAGGAATTTCCCTTTTAAAATTTTTTAAAAAAAATGAAAGATTTTTTTAAAAAAAAGGGGTTTTTTTTTAATTTTTTTATTTAAAAAAAATTTTTTTTTTTAAAATTTTTGGGAAAAATTTTAATTTTCAAAACCCTTTTTTTAATTTAAAAAACCTTTTTTTTTTTTTTTTTTTAAAAAAAATTTTAAATTTTTTTTTTTTTTTTTATTTTCCCCCCCCCAAAAAATTTTTGAATTTTTTTAAAAAAATTTTTTTTCTTCCCCAAAAACCCCCGGGGCCTTTTTAAAAAAAACCCCCGGGTTTAAAAAAAGTTTAAAAAAAAAAATTTTTTTTTTTGGGGGGGGTTTTTTTTTGGGGGGGGGAAACAATTTTTTTAAAAATTTTTTCTTTTGGGGCCCCCTTTTTTTTCCCCCCCAAAAAAAATTTTTTTGGAAATTTTTTTTAATTTTTTTAAATTTTTTTCCCCCCTTTCCCAAAAAAAGGGGAAAAAAATTTTGGGGTTTTTAAAAAACCCAAAAAATTTTTTTAAAAATTTTTCCCCCCCGGGGGCCCCCCAAATTTTTTTTTTTTTTTTTTAAAGGGAAAAAGGTTTTTTGGCCCCAAAAAAAAAAAAAAATTTTAAAAGGAAATTTTTTTTTAAAATTTTTAAATTTAAAAAAATTTTTTTTTTTTTCACCCTTTTTTTTTTTTTTTTTTTTTTTTCCCCGGTTTTTTTTTTTATTTTTAAATTTTTAATGGGAAATTTTCCCTTTTTTTTTTTTTTTTTTTTTTTTTTTTTTTTCCCCCTTTTTTTAAAAAAAATTTTTTTAAAACAAAAAGGGGGTTTTTTTAAAAATTTTTTTTGTTTTTTGGGGG